GTTATCTAGTTTGACTTGTCGTATGTAACAATCAGCAATATTATATTTAGCGTTTCTAATGGATACGTTTAGGCCGCAGAAAGAACAATATATTTAATACGAATGAGAGATAAATTACACAAGAATGTTTGCGTCTGCAAGGCTGAGTTTTGTCCCATGTTCCCCAATGTTGGCCTTCTTTCCGTGTTAAATATTGGATATCTATTTTCCCAGTTATGTCATGTTCAACTTTGAGGATGGTGTGGTTGGAACCAATATCACTACACATTCAATTCACTCGGGACAGCCATGTCAGGACTAATCGGAAATGTGACGGTTTTGTTGTGTCCTCGAGTAAGACTTTGGAGGCATTATAGTGGCATTGGGCCCTAACTACACAATACTCAAAGCTGAACACGAAATAATTGGGGAAATAGATATTCAACACTCACCGCATAGAAAAACCCAACGATGAAGAAGGCCAGAACAATGAATGCAATGAATTCGAAATGGTCGAATGGCATGTCTCGGCCTTACGGGCGTGGCTATCCTTGAATGTTGTTGTGTGTTTTATTCATATCAAATATATTGTTCTATCTCTAGCCTAAGCTTGTTCTCAATCATGTATTGGTGATTGCTACGATACGAATGAGTCGGGGTAGATAGTGATGTGACATCCTCGTAAGGCCTTATATATTAGGCAGTTACATCATTACAGATCTACAATTTTAAGATTAAGTCTGTTATTAGGGCAGTGCTAATAACGAAGTATAACTCTATAATACTAGTCTCTTCTCAGCATAAATGTGTTCTTCAGAAGTGCTAGACGCCATGTTGCTAATTTTCATGTAGAGGTATTACGTGTATATAATGATGTGACTTCCACGTAAGATCATGTAGATTAGGTGGTTACATCATGGTGTATTGACAATTCCGGGATTAGGTCTATTACTATAGTAGTACCTATACCAAAGTTGTCCATGACTGTACACACGTGTGACTATGGATGCAGTCTGCATTGCTAAACAAATCACATGAGATTTACTTCTCAATTGTAAACCAAAACATCAGACAAAAAGTAACACAAGATATAGTCAACGTAAACAAAAAAATAATGGGAATTCAAAATCATATCACGCAAGACTTTTGATCAAGGACAGGTTATGACGTGAACAGAGAAACAAGAAGCCCTGACAAAATACGAAAGCTATTTCTCAGGACGTTATTTCATCTTATTCAGAGCTTGTAAAACAATAAAATTTATTTTTGTCCCTAATCTATTCCACAGGACATAAGCTTTCATTAGATGTATGATTCAGTGCAATACCATTTTCTGTTTAGAAGCTATTGTAATTTAAACATAATATTTTGTACTCTATTTGTTACGCTAATCCCCAGTTCTGATCATGATTGTATTTTCCTAATTATTGTACTTTGTGGTCGGCTTAGTCATCTATATATTCATGTACCTTTTTACATTAATCTGGAAATCCGGAAATCGGGAAAAGATTGAGTAGTGTTCTTGTTGTCTTGTCTTTTCTCGCTCACATGCTTGTCCACCAATCACGTGATAGAATAGTTTTCTCCTCTCTGCCCCACCTCGAACTCACGCGTACTAGCCTCATGGTTAACCGGTCAGCCTAATTCGTCAAGGTCCTAATCTAGATTAGATAAGTTATCCTCAGCACCAGAAGTGGGTAGACAGATCCAGGTCGTAGAAGCTTACCACAAGCGGAACTTTAAAAATTTTTTAACTTTACTCGGAATGATTTATTTCACAGTTTACTAAGTATTATTTGAGTACAAAAAAATGCAAAAGCAAATTTAACCCGCACAAAGTTTTAAAATCGTTGCTCTCCTCATAACCAGTGGTGTATGATAAGAGGTATAATTTATTTTGCATAGACTCTGTACAGTGCAAGTTTAAGATGCTGAGAACCAAATGAGTTGTCACTCTTCGTGATTCTTCCAACAACTAGCTGTCTTTTCTGATAAGGGCTAGTCGCCTCTACGCAAGACTCAAGTTTTGTTCTATCGAACACTATACAAAGTCAAATAATGCAAAACTCTTCGTGGCTAAAGTCTCTACGTACTGACTTCAGTTTCCTAGAACCTTTAGCACTCAGCGCACGGACGTTTACAGGGATTTTAAAGTGTGTGAACAAAAAGTAGTTTAAAATTATTCACTACGTATGGTTTTATACCTTGATAGCACATGTACATCAATTGCAAGCACTTATCAACAACTGATAAATTCTAGATCATTCACATAGTTTCTTGTGATAATTAGGAGTATCTTAATTTTAATACAAACTATGAATCTCAGATATAACTCAATTTAATCAAGAAGTACAAGATAAGCACGAACGAACGAAATGTATTTGAAATCCAAAATAAAGCAGTCATCAAGTACAAAGGAATCTCAAGTTCATACACACATTTCTGTAGGTCGTTTAATGGCTCCGAAGCATTACGTTCATATTGTTTTCACTTCCATGTCTTGATATCGTCTACATAAAACAATATGGATGATGACAGGATTCTAAAGAGGTCATTCACGTACAGTTAGAATAACACCAGTTCCCAAATTGTACAATGGAGCATTCCAATGAGCATCGTAATAAAAAGTTAATCCCCTCTGCTTTTTGATGTACGACCAAAAATAGTTGATCCACGTAAGTATGGTAATACAGTGCTGATATTACATTGCTTAGATAATAGCCCGTTGTGTGGAACTTTGACAGCAGCCTAAATCAACAGGTAGTCTTGAGTCTTAAAAAGCATATAAACTCTATCAAACAACCTATAAGTTCGTAAAACATGGATAACCTAGTTTTTCTGGGAATCAAGTTGTAGTGCCTCTGCTTCGTTGATCTATCACATCGATAACCGCTATAATATAAATCTCTACAGTGATTAAAATCAGAAGACAATGAGAAGCAGTAACTACAGTTTATTAGCGGATAGAGCAGATCACAAGGCCATAAGCCATAAGCGAATTTGGAGCAGAGAAGCGAATAAGTATATGCGAGCGAATACAGAGGTAAATTTATAGTAAAATCAAATGTAGTGACCGTAACGCAACGTATGTAGGTGAAACATCAAGGCAACTGAATGTGGGGTTGAAGGAACACAAACTATGCTTAAAGCACATTCGTAAATCTTCACTTCAGGTAAGAAAACTCGAGAACAAATCAGCGATAGCATTACAGTGAATAAAATTGGATCATACAATTGGTTTCAATGGCCCAAGAATCCTTTGAAAAGGCTTTAATTCCAACAAGGAAAGACTAAAAGCCGAAGACCCACATATATATATGACTAACCCAAAAAGTATTAATAGGAGAGATGGAATACAACTAGATGTCCCATAGCAACTAATAATTAATAAGTAAACCTGAACTCCTTTTCTATTCTATCTCTATCGCATTAACTGATTAACAGATAGTAAATTCAACGGCTCAGATCAGTTACCATATCTGAATATGTTAAACAATTGACCGGAACATTAAAAATAACAAAAACTTTAAACAACAAATACATTCTTCTTCTTCATTCTTTTATATTATTCACTTATCTTCATTTAATTCATGCTGTGACATTTTTGATTCATATCCTATATAAAAATTATGTTTTCCTAATATTCACCGACCAAAGACAATATATAGTGAATGAAATTTCTCTTTCTCACTTACGTATGCACACAATCTGTCACCTTAACACTTTTCGTTTCACACTACATGTTTTCTACACACTAATGTAAATGCCTACTTTAAACATCGTTAACATTGATTGGATGATTTATTCAGTATACAGCAAATCGGAGAACCATGTACCTATTTATATTCGATAATCTTGACGTTTGATTATATTTCCTTGAAAAAGCTTGGACCAGATTGCCAGGTGAAACGTTGGATTTATTTCAAATTCTTTCGCTGAGATTTTACAAATACATTCTTACTCTTTGATTGTAGGATAGTTGTTGTTATTATTTATCATGATAATTAAGCGTGTTCTTACTAGTAGTCCTTCTTAGATTAGTGACTAATAGTCTAGTTAAAATTCATTTTTTGTATAATGGCATTCTGCTTGCTCATTTGTGATATGTTCTTGTTTTAAAGGGATCATGAGATATCTAATACAGGGACTCACGATAAAGGCTGAGTGTTTCTTTAGCAACTAGGATTCATTTCGTTCGGTCTAACTGGTTTACTAATGTCGAATTTACTTAACAGATCAAATACATCGAGTTTCTACTAGTCACCGCATTCAGAGTGTGGATACCAGATGTTATTTGTACTTGAGAGACAAAAGTCTTTACCAAACATTGGTCGCCACAGTAGATTGAGAATAACTGATGTTTGTCGTAGTCAACTTCCACCGGCGTCATATTACTGAAATAACGTTCCGGTTAGTCCTTTGATGTACACTTGAATATAACCGTGTTGCATGTCTCAAAGTATCATCAACGAACGTTTCTTCATATCTGATGGATGAGTTAGAAATATTTCCGACTTTCTGGTTTTAAAACCTCCTCATCATAAGCCAATGTACTGTCTCCTATATTCGTCTCCTTTCATAGAGAAATATACAGACCTCTTGACGTGTTTGTAAGTTTGCTTGTTGTCTTCATAGATACTCACGGCGTTGAGGCCTCTACCCACGAATTCTTGGAAACCTCTCAATCTGTCAATATAAGTTCACTTTGAATTCTCGGTTAATATTAGCAGAAAAGGTGTAAGACCTGTGACTAACATTGTCTCTATCCGCAGTCAAATGTGTCAGCCTACTCACTAAAACATGGAACAGTTCCTTTGATTAAGTATTTTAGATTAGGTCACAAATGTGCACTATCTGTTGTAGTGCTATGCTACTAAAGACTTGAAATAACACATTAAGGTTAAAATATAGGCGCTGGAAACCTGTTTATCGACAACATAATGTTGCTAAAATGCCGGATGAATTAGACGTTGTTCCTCATGTCTTCGTAATGTGCTACATTTGTTTGGTTGTATTGGTTCACTAAACTCTCTGGGCAGTATGAATGTTGCACTAGTTGTTATCTAAGCTGTCAATTCTATCTTTTAACACCTTACTCAGTCGAATGTTGGCATCTCTGTCGATCATCGGATCATGCTTTCACGACCAAAAAATTAATGGCTATCTTTTGCGAACTGTCTAGGCAATAGTAAGCCAACTATTAACTTACATATAGCTTTATTTGATATGGACCAACCACCTATCCGAATATTGAGACGACCATGTCCAGTTCCATCTGACGTTCCTAATACACCACAGAGGTTAGCAATTTTGTGAAAAATTTCATATTTGTAGGCCACCGATAGTCACAAAAACACTTGAACAAAGGGAAGCAGACTATGCTGCTGCTCGGAAAAGGATCATGGGGTCTGCCACTCCGGAGTCATCTAAAGTAGAGACTAAAGAGTTAATAGAGTAAGTGTAACGGTCTTGTGACAGTGCGGTTTTGGTAAGCAGTACGGCAAAACATTTATAGATTTCATAATTGCTCTGTAAAACTCCGAATTACATTAAAGATGCGTTTTTCCCACTCCCTACTTATTCATGTCTGTTCTTTGAACAGGCTAAAGCTTCGTGTTGATTATTTCCTATTTCACTTCTGCATGCGTACAGTCCTTTGGAAAGGTCGTCATGACAGGACCTGCAGTTCTGTGTACATTCAATATAGCGATCCATTTTCGCTTCTCAAATCCCTTTCCTTTGTCTAGTAAGAACCATAGGAGATACAACAGGCTTACTGTCATTTCATGCATGACGAGTAACTAGCCACTAGGCATTTCATAATGATGTAAACGACTCAAGTTTCTCCGCCATCATAAGTGTTCCTGACCAGGTTTTGCGGCTTGTACAGTTCGTTAGTGTTAAGTAAGTTACATTGGTCTGCCTTAAGGTTCGACGGGAATTTGGAGTCCTCAAACCTAGTCAAGGTTGTACATCAGGGACTGGTTTTCAAGCCATAAGTTGCCATGATCCCTTAATCATTGAGTATAAGCTGGACATAAATATCTTAACACCGACGAACATGCTAAAATAAAGTCGTGATACATGGTTTTGTGATTATCCGATTCAACGTATCAAAAGGTCTTGCCAAAGTTGTACTAACCACCTCATATAAAGCCTTCCAGAGACTGGGTTTCATCGGGTAGAAATTAGTATGTAGACCCCCAAATAGTTTTTTGTCCGGTGGTAGTTTATTGAGTTGCACCGAGAGTATGGTCTTCTGAATGTAATGCGGTAACCTCCAAATTACTGGAGGAGTCAGCCTTTCTTCTGGAAATGCTCGTATATGAATACGCGCATACAGCCACTATCAGGAAAGTCCTACTCACTGCTTTCTCGCAGTGTTTACAAAATTAAGAGAACGAAAAGCGAATATCCCACACTAACCCGGCTGGTGGGTACGAAAGATCCACGTAGAGGATTTGAAAAATTCTGATCCCAAACCACATGGGTTCCAGGATCCTGAGGGAACAAATGGCGTATAAACCAATTATTGGTTAACGGCTAACATTGGACTGCATCTTCTAGTGCTGCTCCACTGGCTTGTGTATTATACCTTCGGTTCAAAAACTCATGGTGTGGCGCCGTGAGAAAACCACCTGCTTCGGTTAAGGCATCCCGGCAGTGTCCCATCGTTCACAGAAATCGAATGGTTTGTGTGACGAACGTATTTGGTGCCTCATCATGCCAATATTTTTGTTTAAATAAATAAATAAGCATTCCCAAATAATGTAAATTCTTAAGAATGCACATGTAGTTATTCCAAAATTGTATTCGTAGGATTCCACATAGAAGTTGCTACCGTGTGATCTCTGTTGAAAATTTCTTAAGTGCATGGAATTTGTGTAATTACATGTTTACAAACCTGTCAGGTTTAAAGACCCACTGATCTTCATACTTAGTATGTTTTTTCAGACGAGTAGTATGCTTCGTATCTTACGCAAACTAAAGCAGTTTCATAAACTCCGTAAGTTTTTTCAGTGGTTGCAAATGGATGTTCTCATTTGTCATATTTTACCGTTTTGTCTTTAATGTCGTTTTATCTCCTGATGAAGGTCTAATCCAGTGAAAATGACAGACGATACCAACAGTGTTATTACAAAACAGGATAAATCAATTGCATCCACCATTCCCACGACTCAGAACATGGAGGTTAGTGTTCAAAGTAACTCTTCGGAAATGACAGCCAGTCACTTGTTCACTAACCACAGCGGCGTTCAACTTTCCATGTCCCAGAGTAGCAAACAGACTCTGGATATCGGTGTCGGTCGAAAGCCTCAACAACATTCACATTCTACACCAAACGGCATTCGGCAGAATTTACAACAGCGCAGTGCAACAGTGACTGCCAATAGATTATCTTATATTCCTCCCCATCCTCCTCTTTTTTCTTTTCAAACTGGGTACAATAATGTTGGTCTTCTTCCTACTCCGCCTGGCTTTCAATGTTCACTTCCAACTGAGACGAATAGTAGTCTGCAGCAAACGACTGCCTTTGCTTTGATGCACCAATTTAGTTTACTACAACAACAATATCAACATACTTTAACTGGCATTCAAAAACAGTTGGTTTCTTCTGGATCGCACTCGTCCAACAGTTTTAATCCTTTGAACTTTTCATCGTTTTCCCAGTCTAACATCAACCAGAAGTAAGTTTCATCAACTTTTTTATCTTTTACACAAAAACTAACATCGTTAGTTGACTTCTGTGATTGGTTGTAAGTTGCACTTATCAGCTACCTGCCGTCAAACAAGTTTATTTTTTTCACAAAACAGTTAAGTTGTTACTATAGTCTCTGAGAATTGAGTATTCTATGTCCATACCATATGGTGCAAAATCTTATTCTATGAAACCTAATATGCGAGAAACACCTTTCTTTTTACATATTTACGTGCTCTTAAATTCATGATTTCAACACATGTTTGTTAACATTTTATTTTCAGATATACCCACCCTTCAACTTTCAATTGATTTAAATTTGCAACAGTCAGCGTGTGAATGCGTACTTTTTTCCATTTCGTAGATATACGACCTAATGTAATAACTTTAACCACTCTCTGCTTTTGATAATTTTGTGGTCTGGTGCCATACTCAGCTTGTGCTGTGACATTTTGTCAACATACATATTCATGTTTCTGTATAAATAAAGTGCTTACAAAACAAATGCCATGTTTTCTCGTGCATATCTTCAGTATCGAATGCGTTGTCCGAACACATGTTGCTTTAATTGTTCCTTACACTGGAGCTAAGAATTGTTTTTCCACATACAGGTGTTCTCAATTTGTGCAATCACGTAGTCCCCATTGCGTGGTGAAAATAAATCTTTTAGAATGGTCGACTGTCCAATGGCTTTATAGCTGTAGGGTGTTTGTGTTCAGCTTCTGTGATCGTCAGTTTATTACTTAATCTATTTTGCCGCTGACTAGAATTTTCCTTCATACCGTTTAACACAAAAAAGCTGGGAATATATGCAACACTTAACTTTCCAATGCCTAGATACTGCTACGGAGCAAATGAAGCATAGCAAATTTAAAGTATGCTTGGATTTAGTTCTTAATACTAAGGTGCCACTAAGACGCTGAACAGTTGTGATTTGCAACCATTGGCTCGTAACTTTTCATGAAATGGCTCAAAATAGCTCAAGTGGATCTACTATCTTCTCTTGATCTTGAGTTTATGAATTCCGACGTCAGGTTCTTCGTTGTGTTTGACTGACAAACTGGTTAGTCTCTGACTGTTAATCGGTGTTGTGGCAGTTCAAATCAACCTTTGACGATATCACGGTTTACCAATCTTTCTGAAGATCCTCACTAGTGATCGGCGTCTCAGGGGATACGATTACGATCCAATGTACATCAGGTGAATTCCTGCTAATAATGGTTGGATAAACCATCGCTAGCACTCATTGATTGTCTTGTTCTGTAACTCCCATATATCTCAGATTTCGTATGGTTAGTCAAAGTCACAGTGGTGTTATGCAACCATGTAGTTGTGCACAACTATGGACGTATCAGTAAAGTTTCTCAGTACTTCTACTTGTGCTACTAAGTGCCGAATTATCAGAATCCGTACGAACATTTGGCAGTTTTGTGACTAGGCCCAAGTTCTTTGCTAGCCACCGATAGTCTTATCATCAGTTATGCATTCTTTAATACTGGATCAAAAGTTCTCGGTTTGTGTAACTGGCCCGGCCATACAGCTCGGTAGTCTTACCCACCCAACACCAGTGTTGTCCGATCTGGCCGCTGTATCTCGTAGGTTCTACTTCCGAAAAAGCCATCTCCAAAGCACTAAATCGTTGGGAAAGACCGCATGGTATCTGGGGTCTACTGCATTGGTCGATGCTAGATGACCGACCCCATGCCCTGAATATTTAAGTTGCAAAGACACAAACGTAAACCAACAATGAGTCTGTGCAGTAATTGTAACCAGTGATGGGGTGAGAAAAATGGAAAAGGCATCGGCGGTCAGTAACGCCAAACAACCCGAGCCTATCAAGCAAGTATTCGAAAATCCAATGAGACTATCTCTGAGGAATCCCGCACCGTGACCTCAACCCAGATGATGGAAACGACAGGCGGAGCACCTGAGTAGTTCAACTGGCCTCCGGCTACCTACTATTAACAGACAACGTTCATAGGAGGTTAACATAAGTCCATAGCTAAGGACGTTAAGAATGCTATAGCCAGGCTGAAGTAAAGGAGAACGGAACCATGGTGAACTAATTTGGATATTGTTATGATTTATTTCCGGGTTTTATCACGTGATTTGTCCACCAATCAAAATACGACTTATACAAATCTTCGCACCATGCCAAACTGATGACGTTCGACCGGTATGAACAATCTAGCGTCCTTATTGGTCCTATATCCGTCTAGCCCGTCCACTTGAGTCCAGAACACAATGCCAGCTTCTGCAATATGAATCGAATCGTTTATTTCAGACATACTCGGTTTATATATCAACTAGACAGACCACAAAGTACCATAAAATAGAAAATAATATTTGTACAATATTAGGCCAAATGTGGTTGTGAACGTGGGAGGCAGTAGTCAATAAACTGAACATAGCTTAAGAACCGTAAATCGTACAATAATAAATTATAGGTCAAAATAAAGCTTATAATAAGAATATAAATATAATCTAGTTACTGAATAGTTTTACACCATAAGAATGTATAGATAATATCAGTCAATTAGTACTCCTCGGAAGTTACCCGTAATTTAATGTTCGCTCGGATATACTAATGTGTGTTACTGATGTCGATGGATATAAATAGCATGTATCATCATCAATCGAAAGTGAAATAAACTTAAGAACTCGTCCTTGACAATTTCTATACAACGTATTAAATGCTGTAATAATGTGAAATAAAACCCTGAAGCGGAATGTTAATAAGATTGAAGAGAACGAGTACAAAGGATAATTGGTGTGGAAACGGAAGAACAATGAAATCTGAGACGATTGACTGACATTTTACAATTGAAGTATTTACTATATGGCTCTTAGATTGAATAGTTACACCATAAGAATAGATAGATAATATTAGTCAATTAATGTCTCAGAAGTTTCTCGTAATTTAATCTTCGCTCGGATATAACATATACCTATGGGGATAGCAGTCCAGTTTTACCGGTTGGCAACAATCAGTCGCATGCAATATGAAACTTGACATGTGTTTGGTTCAAGTTACCATTCCTTACCAGCATACCGAGATAAAACTACTACAACACATGACAGTAACGCATCGGAATCAGTACAAACAGAAAAATATAGGTCTAGAGAAATGTCTAAGAAGGTTTTGAGATTCAGTTTTAGGAGTGAATGCACCTACACGATTGTAAACGATTCTAAGCCATATCACCCGGAATTTCCAATCACTTGTTACGATGATCGTGTGGATCTGAACAAGTTAGTCTGCACCTAAATATACACTTCCGTCCAACAGTCACAGAACCCATAGACTTATGCTTTGTCTTAGTTTGGCCTCGTCAAGTTACCAATCTGCTCTTACACCAGGAATCATCACGCGGCGAGGTAGGTGATGGCTAGACGTATGCAATGTCCCAACCATCGTAATCGACGGAGATTCGCAAACTCACCAACCGGTTTTCCATTTATACCTAGTACTCTGTATCTAACCTCAGAATTGCTAACTCGATAGTCCTAAGATATACTAGCTATGGTTTGAAGGCATGTTTGATCGAATACTGACAACCTACAAATTCAAAGTTCATGTTTCTTATTAGCAAAGCCAACCGCTGAGCAGCAAACTCGTCCTTTCTTTGACAGATGGATATCTCACCTAGTCTACAGGTGACGCAAATTGACGAAGGTTAACCGACCTTTCTGATTCCATGTCGACATTTCGTCGGACACCAAACCCTCAAGGCTAATGAAACTTTGACAATAAGTGAAGCTAAAATACTGTATTCCCTTTTGCCGATTCAGACGTTGTTGTAGACCACTCCTGAAGCAATAGTTTGCATTTATAGTGAGAGGAACGCATTCCAAAAATGCATTGTTGCTTCAGGTGGTTGGAACACCCCACATTTTGCAAGCATCTTCACCATGTAAGACTGTCATCCGCATAATCTAAGTTGACAAGTTAACATCTGGTGGTAGATCAACCCCTAGAAAGTCAAGTGAAACTTTATTTCTGGTAGGAGATCTATGAAGAAATCAAGACAGTTAGTGGATAAACATGACGAATACCACTCAATATTAACAGTACGCCGTAAGCTAATACTTAGCCAAAAGCATTTGACAAAATTCTATACAAGTTTAATTTACTTCTTTGGTATGCTTTTCAATGGCAAACTTCGACACAGATAATCTCGTTCTGCAGAGTCGTCAGTCAGCTACAACGTAGGACCAGTCACATGTATGCATCGGTCCAAGTTGCCATACCTCATTAACACAACAAGACGGACACCGGATTCATAAAAGTAGTTGATTCCGTGGTAATATATAAAAGAAAGATTGCAATAAGGATATAGTACGGGAAGAAAGAAAGATATGAAGCGAATTTAATCTTAGTTTAAGGGAAGACAGACAGTGTATACACCGACGCCATTCTGATCGATTCTGAGCCATGTCACTCACAGTCTCCTACCATTGGTTACGATAGTCACATGGACCCCAACCAAGTAGTCTGCATCTACCAACATGGCTCAGACTACAAGTTAGTGACCTCAAGCACTGATGCCACGTCTTGGTTTGGCCGCCCCTAACTTTCTTCCAACCATCCCGAACACCGGTTAGCATTGTACGTCGTAGTAATCGGTGTCCGGGCATACGTAACACGTGGCCCAACCATCTCAGAGTCAAGTACTGCCTTGGGGTTAAGAAATACGACTGTAGCCAGATATCGGGAAGTATGTCTTCACTAGAACCTGACGATGGGAGAATATTTTGTCTACACATCACCGGTCAGGTCTGAAACCAGATGAGCTTCCGAATTGTTGGGTTGAATAATTTTGATACTATATATGTAGCGGACAATCAATATTGATACATGGCTAAGTGTCTTATTTCCTACTTATCATCAATACAATTGTTTATAATATTCGCCCTCATTATGGATCAATATGATTGAAAATTATTTCACATTACAGTATCGTTCTGCTTCTTCTATTTCGATAAGTTACATACATATTTTCCCTGTATATTAGTAATATTTGAGAATTTTATCTTTATGAATATACTTCAGAGACAGTTGAATTGTGATATCATAATCTATCAATAAAGACCATAAAAACATATTCTTTGGAGATCCAATGAATATCTGGATTTTAGTAGTTTACATTACGTCTCCAATAAAAATCAGTTGAATGTATGATAGACTCAGTACTGGAGGTAGCTTCCGTATCATCTAGAATAGACTCAAGTTTAGAATTAACACTTAGACCAAGGACGTACTTAGACAGGTCTTGAAAGTGTATTCCATCAATATGGGAGTATGATCAGTAAGGTAATCATTATCCCTTAAGTGCGAAATGATTCGGCTGACGCTATTCAGCAAAATCCTTGCAGATAGTCAGGAAAAATCTCGACGATAGTATGTAACCTTTTTAGACTGCAATCACTTAATATCCGAACAGTCTTTCATTTTGATGGTTTTGCTAATGTTTGATATTTTTTCGCTCCATCGCGA